ACTACGATGGTAGTCCAAAATGGTTATTTTTCTTTTTTTAAAAGCCCCGTCATTTTGTTTATATTTATAGCTGGTAATTCTGCTCTTTAAAAAATGCTTTTTCTTCTCATACCATTTGTTTGTTGATAGTTAATATGAAATTGTGAATTCTTTATACCATGTGTTATAACTTGATACTGTTATCTTTCATTTGGAAGCTCAGATTATCCCAGTTTTGCCAAACTGCCTTCTATGTCATTTTAGCACAACCCGCTCATTTTTTGAGCTCTTACGTACTTTTTGGCATGACAAAATGTTCCAGACTCATCTTGTATTTTCCTTGCCTCGTCCCAAGAATCAACCATTTCTCCAAGAAAACTTGATTCCTTTTAGTGAGGAAAAACGTTTAGGAATGAAGGCCTTGACACTCAAAGTGTTCATTGCTACTTAAGCCTCATTGCTTCTAGGTCCTTTTAGAGTAGAGAATATGTGAAAATCTTTTCTTTTTTTTAAATCATGCTGATACCACTAATTCCAATTTAATACCATAGAGGTCTTCCTGGCCTTCCTCCAACCAAATTTATCTCCTTTCTTCCATGAGAAACAGCCTTCAACAGTATCAGTTACATTTCCTCATTTGTTTAATCCTAATATGAATACAAAAATAACTCCAGAATTACTATACTCATACCACCAACAATAACTATACAGTAAATAAAATTAGAAAAGTAAAGTTCAAGATTTCACTGAATTTCCTTTTGTGTTCAAACTGGAGATAAGTAATGAGACTACCATTCTAAAGTTAACTGAATAGTTTCACTTTCTCCTATGTGGTTATATTTTCCATTTGATAAACAATACAGTACTTTTTATCAAGATCTTATATCTTTAGAGCAGTTTTTAGGTTCATAGCAAAACTGAGGAAAAGATACACCTTATACTCCTTGCACCCCCACATGCGTAGTCTCCCCTATTACTAGCACCTCACCACAGTGGTACATTTGTTACAATTGATGAACCTATATTAATACATCATTGGCACCTGAAGTCCACAGTTTGCATTATGGTTCACTCGTGGTGGTGTACATTCTGTAAGTCTGGACAAATGCATAATGACATGTATCTACCATTATAGCATCATTAATAATAGTTTCATTGTTCTAAAAATCTGCTATTTATCTCTCCCTCCCAACTCCTGGCAATCAGTGAAAAGCACTGATCTTTTCACTCTCTGCATAGTTTTGCCTTTTCTAGAATGTCATATAGTTGGAATCATACAGAATGTAGCTTTTTCAGAGTGTCTTCTTTCACTTAGTAATATGCTTTTAAGGTCCTTCCTTGTTTTTTGCATGGCTTGATAGCTCACTTCTTTTTGGTGCTGAAACACTCCATCATGTGGAAGTACCAGTTTATTTACACTTTCACCTACTGAAGGATATCTTGGTCACTTCCAGGTTTTGACAATTATGAATAAAGCTGCTAAAACATGTGTGAAGGTTTTTGTGTGCACATACGTTTTCAATTCTTTTGGGTAAATACCAAAGGGCATGCTTGCTGAATCATATGGTGACTATAAGTTTAGTTTTTTCAGAAACTGTCAAAGTGGTCATACCATTTTGCATTCCCACCAGGAATGAATGAGAGTTCCTGTTACTCCACATCTTCAGCTGCGTTTGGTGTTTTCAGTGTTCTGTATTTTGGCAATTCTAATAGATAAGTAGTAGAATCTCACTGTTATTTTAATTTGCATTTCCCTGATGACAGTTGATGTGGAGTATCTTTTCATATTATTCATTATTCACATATCTTCCTTGGTGAGGTATCTGTCTGTTATGTAGGTTGCTTGTTTCATTATTGTTGACTTTTACATTTATATTTTATATAAATGTTGTATATTTTATATACGACAAGTTTTATGCATATTTGGGTTAACAGTCCTTTATCAGGTGTGCCTTTTGCAATTTGTTTTTCTTTGTATTCAAGTCTAGGATCCCTCCCTTCATTTCTCCTACTCCTATTCTGGTTGTTCTAATTATATTTTTTGAATATGTAAAATTGTAACATGCTTCCAAAATGAAATACAAATGTATACAGAGAAACGTCTCTCTCTCCTCTATCCTCTCTGTACAGCCCCTCGAGTAACCAATTTCATTATTTTGTGGTTCACCCTTTCTATGTCTCTTTCTGAAAAACTAAGAAATTAATTAAATATATTGAATATTTAATAAGGGCTATTTAAGAAAGGCAGAAAAACAAGCAAGAGAATCCAAATGAGATAAAGAAATAAAAACAGTCAGAGGGAAAGGGATTGAAATGGAAGATAAGCAAAGATCTAATATGTATATAACTGAGTCTCTGAAGAAGCAAAACAATGAAACAGAACTTGTATTTAAAATTAATTCTAGAAGACTTTCTGAAAATGAAAAAAGACCAGAATCTACATACTGAAAGATCCACTTCTGCCTTATAAAACTGACTTGGAATGGTCAACTCTGAAACGCAGCCTAATAAAAGTACTACATTTTAAAAGTGAAAAGTCCTCAAAGCTCTGGGGAAAAGATCAGATTACTTCAAAGGGCAGGAAGATTAGGCTCCCTGTGGACCTCAACAGCAACATACAAAGAAAGGTACCAGTGGAACAGCATTTTTAATGAAACCAAGGATTTTATATTCCAAACAAGTTGAATCAATTCTAATTTTATTTATTTGGGAGAGGGGGATGATATATGTATTATCAGTTCCTAATTTTTTTATTTGTTTCTTTGTTTGAGTCTACTTAATTCAGAGGTATTGTAATACAGTTCCTTTTTGCTTTATAATTAGTTGTGGAGGAAGAATGTCCATGAGTCAAAAGGTTTTGATTCTCATTTTCTCTCTCTCTCTGTAAAAATTTTGTATGGATGTAGACTGCTTTATTAGGGTCCATTTTGTGTAAAGAATAAAGGTGTGGGGTGGCTTAAAAATCTGTAGTTCAAGACTGCCCCTTTCTGTCAGAATAGTGAAGTTCAGTATCCTTTTTCATATATATTTACTTACTGGTTCAGGGTGTGTGTAGGGGAAGGGTCTGATATGTTTAGAAGTTCTTTTGTTTCAGTAGGATCTTAATTCCTCCCTCTGACTTCCTTCTTTCCTTTTACTAGCCCATCTCCAAAGGGTAACTCCCCTTTTCTATTTATCTCTTTCCCAGAAGTAATATAGTCCCCAAATTGTCACCATAGGTCTTATATACTTTCAAGACTCTTGCCTCTAGCCAGTACTGTGATCTACTAGGTCTTAGACTGCTTTCAGAAATTTTGTATTTATTGTGAAGCTTTACCTCTCTATTGGTTTTTTGTCAGATTTAGGCCCTCAAAACTCCTCTTTTCCATGTAGTTTTCAAATCTCCCTAAGTCTAAAACATCAAATACAGTTCCATTAAAATGTGGTATTTATTTCTTATTCAAAAACATTTTGAAGTTCATAGTCTTCTTTTTCTCTTAGGAAAGCTGGAAGTGTGGGTTAAGTATGGTTTAATTTACATTATTTCTTTTTTTAAAAAAATTATATTATTTCTTAATCTCTATGGTTTCAGGGAAAATGAGTGGACAAATTCTAACTTAGGAGGCCACCAATATCCTCTGACAACCTGGAAATCCGTCAGATCTTTTTATTACTATTGTTATTACTGATTGTGATTGTGGTATTTTATAAACGTCCTTAATACACCCCAGGATTTAAAGCAAAGGGCTAAATTTGTGGACTAGTCTTCCTCTTGAAAAAAACTCAAGTAACTTTCTTAAAACACCATGCATAGACAAACTGATCCAGAAATCAAAGTCTCTCATATCACCCTGGCTCAGTTAGTTGGGCACCCTCTGGCAAAACAAAAGGACACAGATTTGATTCCTGGTCAGGGCACCCGCCTGGGTTGCAGGTTCAGTCTCCGGTCAGGGCACATATGACAGGTAACCAATCAATGCCTCTCCCTCGCACTTCTGTTTCTCTCCCTCTCTTTCTCTCTCCCATCCCTTCTCTCAAAAAATAAATAATAAAACAAAAAAAATGTCTCTCATATCCAATTACTAATCTAGTATAGTAGAATCTGATATGATACACTATAGCTTACAGTACTGTGGTAGTTAGAAGTCCTTAGTGCTCATGTATAAACAAAATCTACTTTGAGCTAAAACAAAGGAAATTGTGTTTAATTTAGAAAGTTATATAACAGAAACAAACTAGAATCCATGTTCTTTGCTATTTTTGTCTTTATGATGATAAGGCAATAACACGACAGAGTGATTTTCCCATCTGGGGCTCTAATAAAGTTCATTCGTCCATCTATCCAATATCTATTGAGGACCACGAAACTGCCAAATAATAGGGATACAAAGGTAACTAAGGCAAGCCCTTGCCACACAGGAAGTAGAGGAATATATGGAAGTTGCAGAAAATCAGATACAGTGCAGTGTTCTTTACAAAAAGTCTAAAAATATGCAAACCATACTATATATTCTTTTAACAATACATATACCTGTAGTATAAATACAAAGATGTGGGAAATAATAATTAAATTCAGTATAAAAGTTCATTCCGGGAGGTTGAGGTGGGAGAATGAGGGGAATTAAATCAGGTAGGAAAAATAAAGGAAGCTCCAATTTTATCTAGAGTTTGCTTTTTTTAAAAAGATAAAGTAAGATCTGAAATAATTGCAAAGTGCTAAGATACAACAAAAGTTGATAATAAGATACATGGGTTATCTGTTACATTACCTCTAGTGTTTTCTGTATGCTTAAAATAGTTTGTGATTCAAAAAATGTGTTCAATTGATTCTGGGCAGAATACATTCAAAATTCTAAGTAAATGATTTTTCAACATTGGAGATGAGGTCAAGACAAATAGAAGATTTGTGAATCTTTAATTCAGAAGTTTTGGAACATGTTTAAACTGTGTAATAACACAAAACTGAGAACCGATATTAGAAATGAGTGAGAAAAACAGCCCAAATACTGTACATCATGTTGTAGATGAAGTGTTATACATACCTGTGAGTGCTAAATAAGAAGCGATGTACCGCTTTTCCAGTCCATCTCTAACACTTTGAATCGCACCAAAAATTGGAGGTATAATCATAATCAGGTTACTCACTGTATTCCCTACAGGAGAAAAACACAAGGAGATAATTACGTTAATCAATACTACTTTAAATAAAGATATATATACTTGGCCCTCAATAAAAATTAAATAGATAACCTCTCAGAAAGATAGTGGAACAATATTTACAAGTTGCTAAAATTTCTTAAAAGAATGCAAGTAGCCCTGGCTGGTGTAGCTCAGTGGATTGAGCACGGGCCTGTGAAGCAAAGGGTTGCCGGTTCGATTCCCAGTCAGGGCACATGCCTGGGTTGCAGGCCAGGTCCCCAGTGGGGGACACATGAAAGACAACCACACATTGATGTTTCTCTCCCACTCTTTCTCTTTCCCTTCCCCTCTCTCTAAAATAAATAATAAAAAAATATTTTTTAAAAAGAATGCAAGTAAAATAGATACCTTCAGACAAAGGAAACTAAGAATTGTCAACTTGATCATCCACTAAAGAAACTTCTAAATTCTAAAGGCAAAAAGAAAAAATATCTCAGAAAAAGCCCTCAAAGATACAGCAGAAAACGAGTTGGAGAAGGCAGCCTACATCAACGCCAGTAAATGTAGGTCCCTGGATACAGTATGACAAGATATAACACAGGATTGAGTTAGCTTTGTCTACCAAATTAAACAGCAATAAATTGGGGTTTGCATTTTGCATTTCTTTTTAAAATGTCATTTCTCTGGTGCTGTTTTTAGTTTCTAGTTTCTGATTCTAGTAAAGTATGAAAGGCAATGACTCTTAATCTGATCTTTGTTCTTGTCTTTACAAAACAGATCTCAACCATGAACAGCAAAGAAACAATAAAAAAACAAACAATAACCCAAATAAACAGTAAAATGGGGAAAGATATAGTTAAACTATTTTATAAATTGATTCTGAGCAGAGTAAGTGGTACAATACATTCAAAATTCCAAATAAATGATTTTTCAACACTGGAGCTGAGGTCAAGACCAATAGCAATTAATGGACACATACAGAACACTCTACCCTACAACAGCAGCTACATTCTTCTCAAGTGCATATGGGACATTTTCCAGGACAGTCCATACATTAGGCTATAAATTAAGTCTCAACAGACTTAAAAAGATAAATATCATCTACAGTATCTCCTTCAGCCACAACAAAATGAAGTTAGAAATAAATAACAGAAGGAAAACTGGAAATTTTCACAAACTTATGAAAATTAAACGATGTATTTTTTAAACAACCAATGGATCAAAGAAGAAATTACAACGGAAATCAGAAAATAGAGAAGACTCCAAATGAATACACAACAGAACAACATTGACAGAACACAACAAAAACAGTGTTAAAGAGCAATTTTATAGCTATAAACACGTAAAAAATAAGTATCTTCAATCTGATTTGAAAGAATGCTCTTTAAGAACATGAAAATATACTATACACTGGTAAAGGTAACTATATATAGTCAAATTCAGAACACTCTAATACAGTAATATGATAGTGTATTAATCACTCTAGTATAAAGGTAAAGGGAAAAATTATTAAAACTGACTAGAGTTTATAACAATGTTAATGAATACGCAATAAAATATAGGTAAATGATGATATAAAAACCTAAAAGGCTAGAGTTTTAGTATGGGAAGTTCAGTTATCAGCATAAAAGAGGCTGTTACACGTCAGCAACATGGTAGCCACAAAACAACCAAAACCCATAGTAGATAACACAAAAAATTAAGAGAGGGAATCAAAGCATACCACTACAGAAAATCACCAATTCACAAGGCATCAGGAGATGCAGACAGGTGTAAGGGGAACTACAAAACAACCAGAAAGGCATTAATAGTCCTCAGTAGGCATTAGTAAATCCTAACCTAGTAATTATTACTCTAAATGGCCCTGGTTGGTGTGGTTCAGTGGACTGAGAGCGGGCCTGCAAACCAAAGGGTCCCCAGGCAAGAAACACGCCTAGGTTGTGGGTTCAGTCCCCAGTCCGGGAGTGTGCAAGAAGCAACCAATCAATATTTCTCTCTCACATCAATATTTCTCTTTCTCTCTTTCTCCCTCCCTTCCCCTCTCTCTGAAAATAAAGAAATAAAATCTTTTAAAATTTTTACTGAATAAATAAATGATTGGCTGGATGAAGAAAACAATTTTTTAAAAATAATTAAATCTCTAAATGTAACTAGATTAAATTCTCCAAGAGGTTCACTTCAGCTTTAAGGACACACATGGACCCAAAGTGAAGTGATGAAAAAAGATAAGCCATGCAAGTGAAAACCAAAAGAGATCAAGAGTAGCTACTCTTGTATCAGACAAAATAGACTTTAAGCCAGAAATTGTAACAAAGACAAAGATCACTATTTAATAATTAAAGGTTAATTCATCAAGAGAATATAATAATTATAAATATATACACACTCAACATATTAAGCACTCAACATATTAAGCAAATACAGTTTTGAAGGAAAAAATAGACAACAATATAACAGTAGGGGGCTTTTAATACCCTACTTTCTACAATAGATAGATCATCAAGACAGAAAATCAATACAGTAGATTCCCTTAAGTTCTAAGACACCTCCCTCCCAAAACCACAGATACTATGGGGTTTTTTTTATACATATATACCTACAATAAAGTTTATAGCTACTCTGGCATATCCAAATTGCTAGAATCACTACTCTTGTGCTTTGGGGCCATTATTAAGTAAAATAATGGTTACTTATGAGGCAGAATAGTAAGAAGCTAGGAAAATTCCTGGGTAAGTGGAATGGGGAGAGTGAGACAAGAAAATTAAACACGGCCCAACAGTGTGAGCAACTTACAGCCAGCTGGTAAATACAACAACTTCTTTCCCCTAACCAATGGTTTATACCTGTTCTCCCTAACCAACGAGTACACAGCTTAAATCTCTCTGGTCTGGGAGATAGAAAACAAAGATCCAATTCATGTCATTTGTGCCAGCTAAACCCAAGGACAGGTGAAGTCAGGGGAACAAATACAAAAAAAAAACCATTAAACCCCAGAGAGACTCAAGATAAAAGTAAAACAGTATAGTGGATCACGGAATATTCCCCAAACCCCACTATGTGCTCCTTCTGACACATCACCACATTAAAAATGTACCGGGAGCCCTGGCTCGTGTGGCTCAGTGGACTGAGTGCCAGCCTGCGAACTGAAAGGTCAGTGGTTCAATTCCCAGTCAGGGCACAGGCCTGGGTTGCAGGCCGGGTCCCCAGCTGGGGGCATGCAAATTGATGTATCTCTGGCACATCGATGTTTCTCTCTCTCTCTTTCTCCTTCCCTCCCCATCTTTCTCTAAAAATAAATAAATAAAGTCTTTAAAAAATGTACCGGGAAATCTAACAAATATTCTGCCCAAACCCTCCCCTAAGATCCTCACCCACAGGAAAAAAAGATAAAAAGCTCTCAGAACAAAGACGTAGGGAGAGCTTGCTCTAGAGCATACCCATGCCCCTTCTTGGGCATGAACTCTTTATTTCCTCCTAAATTCCAAGGGTCTCAAGGAGACTTGTGGCCAGGGGGGCAGTGGGCAGTGGCTTACCCCCTGATCCTGTCTCCAGGGCGCCCTTTTCTCTGACTTCCCAGTAGGCTAACAGCAGCCCCTCCTTGGCTCACTCCTTTCCTACACAGTGTTTCTAGGGAGCCAAAGCGGCCTCACGTAGGCTCTCTTTTGTCACTTCTTCTACCCTAAGTCCTTCCTTGGTTTCATTTTCCCCAGCCTTAATAAACATTCTCAAAATCACCTGGATTTGTGTTGTGAAAACTTCCCTACACTAAGTCAAGAATCCACACACTACCGGCTGGCCAGAGGCAGACCGGCTCCTGGCCGGTGTCTGTTTGGTAAGCATGAACACAGCAGTGCAATACCACAAGAGTCAATCTGGTAAGTGAAACGGCTACTAAGTGACTAATGGGTGAGGAGCCCATAAAGTGCAGAGATGCTGAGCGAAGTTATGATTCACACAGCAGGAGAGTGAGAGTTTTCACCATGTTACTCAGACAGCATTCAACTTAAAATGTAGAATTGTTTATTTCTGGAAATTTCTTTCTATTAATATTTTCAGACTACAGTTCTGAAACTGGAAAGCAAATCCACAAATAAGAGGGAACTACTGTATGGAAAAGCTGGACTTCAACTATACTTGAGACCAAATAACCCTAACAGACATACAAAACATTTTACCCAAGAGGAGCAGAACACACATGTATGTTCAAGTGTGTATGAAACATTCTCCAGGATAGATCATATGACAGATCATAAAACAACTCTTAGCAAATTTAAGAAAACTGAAATCACACAAAGTATTGGGTTAGCCAAAAAGTTCTCTTAGTTTTTCTCTGTACAGTGGTTCTAGCAGTGCTCAGTTGTCTTTAACTTTAGTCGAAACAATTTCGTAGGAGTGTATTGTGACAGTTATCATATTAGTGTGCATTTTTTAAAAACATTAAGACGGGTAAATTTCTGTGCAGCCATTTTAATATTAAAGATCAAAAAATGTATACAACATTTTCAGCATATGATGCTTTATTATTTCAAGTAAGATTAAAAACACAACCGAAACGTAAAAAAAAGGCTTGTGTGTATATGGAGAAGATGTCTATGGAGAAGATGCTGTGACTGACCGAATGTGTCAAAAGTGGTTTGCAAAAATTCTTGGTATTATGGACATTTTGGCTAAATAATTCTTTGCTATGGGGGCTGTCTTATGCATTGGAAGGTCCCCACCGGCTAGAAGCCAATAGCAGGAGATAACCAACATACTCGAAATATCCAAATCAATAAAGTTATTGGTGAAAATGAAAAATGTCTCTTATTTTACAGAAAAAACTAAATGGACTTTTTTCCCAACCATGTGATATAAAATTAGAAATCAATAACAGGAGGAAAACTAGGAATTCATACATGTATGGAAGTTAAACAATATAATACCTGAACAATGAATAGAGCAAAGAAATCAAAATGTAAATTAAAAAAATATCTTAAATCAAATGCGAATGAAAACACAACATACCAAAACTTAG